TGTGTACGGGCTGATTGGTTAATGTAAGGCCTATGCAGCGTGTGTGTGTGTGTGTGTGTGTGTGCGTGCGTGCGTGTGTGTGTGTGTGTGTGTGTGTGTGCGTGCGCGCGCGCGCGTGCACATGAGCAGAAGCTGCAACCTGGGCAGACAGCAGTGTCAAGCGCACATCTCCCATCCTGCCCCTCTGGCCTCTGGCGGGGTGGGGTGGGGCTCAGGTGCCCCAACAGTAGGGCTGGGAGAGAGTGTGTTTGCCAGTACAATCTTGGGCCAGGGAGCAACTGGGCCACTTGCATTGTTTTCTTTCTCCTGCAACACAATAGAAGTTTTGCTGAGGCTCAGGGAGCGTCTACAAAGTGCTCTCCTTCGAGAGCAAGGCTCTGCTGCCTGGGCTTTTTAGGCGACTTTATATCTTTGGATCCAGGCGAAGGTGTGGAGGGACAGGGTGAGACCGAGGTCAGGGACAGTTGCAGCCGTCTCAGGCTGCTCGCAAAGGGAGTGGTCCTGTGAGATGAGCAAAGTGCCAGACTGCAGGATAACTGGGGGCATGGGTGGGGGCGCACTTCCATCCGTAAGATGGGAGCCGGTGACCTGGCTTCCAGTCAAGTCCTATTGAAAGTCCTCCTGAAGAAGGGACTCAGGCATGGACAGGATACTGTTCACACGGCCAGCGAGTTCTTTCCTTTCTAGGTTGAAACTATATCCCAGGTGCATGCTCTTCTCTGTCTCTCTCTCCAGAACTGCCGGTCAGCGCCAAGCCCAGCAACCCTCTCCCACCACGCACCGTAGCTCGAAATCGGCTCCCTGTTTCCTGTAGCCCAGGCTCTGATTCACTCGTCGTGTGCCCCTCACCTCTCTGTGCCTCAGTTTCTTCGTCTATAAGTTGGCAGCCAAATCATTCCCACCGTTATGAGGACTTAATGAGTTAACATAAGGAAAATGCTTCGAATAGTGTCTGGCACACAGTATGTATTATAAAAGGGTTAGTTATGATCATCTTTATTATTACAGGCCATTCTCCACCCAACGGTGTGACCATTTAAAAACCTGAATCAAATCATATCACACCCCTGTTTACAACCCTCCCCTGGCTGCCCACTCTGCTCAGCACAAAAGTCCCTGCATCTGCTGTCTCCAGACATCACCACTCTGACTTCCTCTCCTCCCGCTCCCCCCATTACTCATTGCTCCCGCCTCACGGGCCTCCTTGCTGCTCCCGGAATGTTCCAAGTTCGGTCCAGCTTGAGGGCCTTTGAGTTTGCCATTTTTCTGCCTAGAAAGCTCTTCTTCACACTTTGCAGAGCTGGTTCTGGCTTGGCATTCAGATTTCAGCTTCTTCATTGCCTTCCTAGGACTTTTTCCCAAATCACCCAACTAGGTGTATGCCTTCTTATATTTCTCTACAAAAACATCTTGTTTATTTCTTAGCTGTCATTGGCTATGTGTTTATTTGTTGTTTAATCTCTCTCTCCCCCAACTAGAATATAAGCTTCATGGGAATAGAACTTTGTCTTATTCATTGTTTTTCTTCCTACATCTAGCTTAATGTACATCGCAGGTGCTCAGTAAATATGAGTTAGTTAAATGAATGAAGGAAGGAATGAGAAAAAGACTCCAGGAGTATTCATGAGAGAGATTGTAGATGGTGATGTCATCCATTTGGTGGAGCATTGGATAAGCTTGGGAAATGTGGGAGATAATTTGTTCGAGTTTTTGAGGTGCCTATAACACTGCTTGAAAAGATATCTGTTATATACCTCACATGGGCCTGGAGCGACCTGAGGAGCAAGGTCACGGCTAGAGCTATGCTTTGGAAGTTTCACCACCCTTGGATTATCTCATCAGGAAAGTCAGTGAAGACCCAAGATGGCTGCCCTGACTTTAGACATTGAATTTTCGTTCAACGTCCGCACGTCAGGAGGACAAACGAGATCACTTTCTTTTTCCGTGCCCTGTTTTAAGAAGGAAGAAAACTTGCAGGCTTCAACAGATTTCTATCCTGTCTTATTGGCTAAAAATGTGTCATAGGCCGAATTCCCTATATGGGCTAAGACTCCTTAAGATTTACCCATCGTGAGTGGGAAGGGGTTCATTCTCTCCAGAAGCACACGGTGGCCAAACTTGGAGTTTTGATAGGGAGAGGGGGAAAAAGGTGGTTGAATTTGCAACCAGTGGTGTCTCGAGTGGGTGTAGAAGATGAAATCTGAACTACTCCTACTGCCAGAGAACGCCAGGAGGAAGCAGCAGCGCGAGAGAATAAGGGGCGGGTAGGCAGGACGCCCCCAGAATTTTCTGCAAAGAAGATATTTTAAGAAGGAGGGAGCTGTCACTGTGCTGAGTGCTACTGAATAATTAAGTAAAATAAGGATGGAAAAATAGCCACTAGATTTGGACTTTGAGGTCCAAGTTGGTGACCTCAGTGAGAGCAGTTTCAGTGGAATGATGGATGTCTCTGGAATTCACACCTGCGTCCCCACTCCCAGTGGCCAGCTCTGTGCTTTGCCATCCCTTCCCTGGATTCTGAGGACAGTTCCCTCACCGATCCCTCGGATTGGAAAAGACCAGTGTCATATTGCAGAGGTCTTTACGTGCCAAACGGAGCAAATTATCATTATGTCAGTCAGCAGTAGGGAGCCGCTGGAGGTGCTTGAGTGAAGGAATAACTTGACCATAGCTGCCTTTGTGAGGTTAACCCGAGAGAGTGATGCAGGATGGAACGGAGGCCGGTGAGACTGGAGGCGGGAGGGGACTCCCCAGTTCTTCGCTTCTGTCCACCCAGCATCCATTCCCCTTCTTCTAGTGCTAAGGCCACCACTGACCTTTAGAAACATCCCCTCCCCACTTTCAGTCCACGAGGGACTCACCCTTTCATCACATGACCCAGACCTGGCTGTGTGAGAGTCACTGACTGGACACATGACCGATTCCTGGCTAATCAGATGGCCTGACTAGCTGGCCTCTTGGGAAAGAGACAATCTCTGAGCACCTGAATCCAGTTTGCCTGAAGCTACTATGGACTTTTTACTTACACGAGCCCTTATGTACCTTTTCCCTTGAACTGGTTTGAGTTGGATTTTTGCCACGCGTGTCTTAAGGAGCCTTGAATAATACAGGAACAAGGGGATTTGAGAGATGAAAGTTCTGGATATGGACAAAAGGAGAGTCAGGAGACCTTGGAGATCTCTTCCTGGGAGGGTGGTACAGGCAAGTCTGAAAAACAATTCACTCATTCATTTATTCAATACGTTTGTGGAGTACCACACAGTGGGTAGGCTCTATTTTAGACCCTGGGGATATAGCAGTGAGCAAAACAGATTTAAAAAAAACCCCTTGCCTATATTAAGCATTCGTTCTAGTGGCTCAGGAAACATTAGGTACTTTTATTCTGTTATTACGATGATCAGCATCATCCCCATTCGTAGTGGCAGAAGCTGAGGCTCTGAGAGGTGAAGTCACACAGCCAGTGAGGGGCCGAGTAGAGATCTGACTTCATCTCTTCATAATTTCCAAATTGGCCAAACTTCCAAATTTCCTACCAGGCTGGAGAGAGAGAACAACACACCCACGTGGAAATGACTTCACGCTCCAGAAAGAACAGTACAAATTGGCTGAGAGGAGTAGAATAGGAATTGTCTAACTACATAAAGGCTGCAGGAATCCACTGCAGGATGGAAACGTGATCAGGAGGGGGTGAGATTTGATTCACAAATCATAGTGGTTTTAGAGCTAGAGAAGGGTAGTCGAGATCAGATTAGTCAAGAAGGCTTTCAAAAAGAATGGGTGCTTGTGTGGCAGAGTCTTAAAAGAAAGGAATAGTATTGTAGGAGCATGTATAAGTCCGTGGCTGCCTAATCACTCTGTGTGTCATATCCTCAATCAGATGCTGAATTGATTATTTTCTTTCTTTTTTTTTTCTTTTATTTGTTGGAAGCCGATGAGAGTGGGGAAAAGAAGCCCTGGTTAGTGTGACTTGACAGCTTTTGTTGTCGCTACTGAAATCATTAGCTCCCTGCCAACAGCACCCAGACCTTGCAGGTCTGCAGGCTGGAGATATACACACAATGATGCATTTTTAAAAATTCTCCAACAGGAGCTGTGACTCATACACATTTCTGCGGGGATGAATAAAAATACCGGGAGTGAAAGATGGATTAGTCACTGGGACACAGTTTGCTTTTGAGAACTGAGTCCCCCACAGTTGCCCCTGTTTCTCATTAGCTTCTGAAATTTGGAAACTGAACCCCTAAACTGTTGCCTACCAAGGATATGGGATGAAGCCTGATTGGGTGGGTGTGGGGCTTGGGGACCAGCAGGTGGGCTCATCGAGCAGGACTATATGCCCCTGGTGCAGGAGTTCCATTGCACAGATTGTCTACTCCTGGCTCCTATTCTGACTGGTCATTGCCTGGGACCACCTCTAAATTAAAGCCATTTGTTTATTAATTTGTTCACTCATTTATTCATTCAATCAGTCTATTGCAGGTGAAGGAATGTGTTAGGCTCTGTGTGGAAACCCAAAATGGCCTGAGAAAAGGAGCAGACCAAGAGCCAAGGGCAGGAAACATGGCATAAATGTCTACATAGAGACTTAGAGAAAGAAGAGATGTCTTTCGTCTAGCTCAGGGATTGGCAAATTGTGGTGTGCAGGCTATTGTTTTAATAAATAAGCGGCAAAAAGTTATATTGAAATGTAAGTAACCACACCCATTTATCTACATAATGTCTTTGGCTGCTGTTAGCTTTACAACAGCATAATTGAATAGTTGGAATTCAGACTGTATGACCTTTAAAGCCTAAATATTTACTATCTCGCCCTTTACAGAAGTCTGCCAACCCTTAATCTAGCATGGATCAGGGATTTGCAGTTGTAAAAAGCAGAATCCACTCTAGTAATTTCATTAATGGTTACGGGAAGCTCACAGAATCTCCAGGGGCCCAGGAAGCCAGTCTTAGATGCCATGCCAAGAACGATGCCCCAACCACCCTGTGGGATGGCTCCAGCGATGACCCTGCTGAGCACAGACACCCCAACTGGCAATGCCGACTCTGGGTATGCGAATACCAAAACTTCTGTTGTCACTGCCTCCCCAAACTGGATGCCTCTGCCATTGCTTTGGTCAGATAAACCAAATACGTACAAACCCTATAGCCCAACAATTCCCTTTTTGGTAGACAACCTAAGAAACTTGCTCACGGATGCAAATGAAAACACGTATGAGGATGTTATGGGCACTAGTGTTTAGCACTAGGAAATGAATAAGTAGAATATAGTTTTATTGGTTGGAGTTAATATTCATCACTGTAATAAATAGACCCTAAAGTATTTAAAGTCTTAGACTCAAAGGAAGTTTTATTTTTTGCTCATATAATAGTCCAAGGTGAATGTTGCTAATTGGTGGTCTAGCTCCCTTTCACACAGGCATCCAGACCCAGGCAGAGGGCTGCTCTTCTACCTTTGACCCATGGCTTCCAAGGTCACTCTGGGGTCCTCATCCCAACCAGTTTAGAAGGGAAAAGAGCATGGAGGAGAAGGCATGGGAGACGTTTTTTGGCCTGGCATTTATGAGCGAAAGCATCTTTATCTGACTCCGCTACCTGCAAGGGAGACTGGGAAATGTAGTCCTTCGATGTCTCCTGATAGAGGAGGAAATTGCTTTTGGGGAATAACCGGCAGTCTCTACCACGGTGATACACATACACAATGGAATACTAAGAAAAAGTCAGAAGCAGCGCATTACGTTTACGAAAAGCAATGAAGAATGACCTCAAAAACATGAAGTCGAGTGAAAACAGTAAGAGAGCATCAGATGCATAACTGTTCCATTTATATAAAAATTTAAAAACAATCATAAAACAACACTATTTTTATCTCTTTATATATTTCTACTATGTCTATTTGGATACACATATAGCCAAACAAATGTATGGCAGATGGATGGATACAAGGAACATACTTTAAATATATCGGAGTGGGAGTCTTTGGGGGAGGGGAACATAGGAGGAGAAGAGATGAGTGACAAAGGCAAAAATAAGCGAAAATAAAACAAAACAGAGGCCATATCCAGATGCCACTGATGGTGTGCCATGACCTGAAGAGGGTAGCTAACTAATTGTGTACTTCTGAGGTGCAAAGTAAAAGAAGTAGCAAAAAGCAATGAATTAAAGAATGAAAGTAACATATATCCATTGTAGAAAATTTAGGAAACGTAAGTATAAAGACAAAAACAAATACTCATAATTCCACTGCTCGGATGTAACTACTGTTGTCATTTTTATACATTTCCTTCCTGTCTTTTTTGTGTGGCTATGTAACACATAGCGACAGTGTCGAGATCGCAGTTTTATATTTCACTCTTTTCTCTCTTTTTATCCATTTACCAAGACCATTTTTCTATTCCATTAAATATACTTTGATGGCAGACTTAAAATGGCTAAATAATTTTCCAAATCGTGGACATACCATAATGAATTTAATTTAGGCCCTCTCAAATATGGGGCTATTGTAGGTAGCACTGCAGTGAACATCTTTGTGCATCAAAATTAGTCTGAGTGTGTGATTATTTCTGTAGTTTAGATTCCCTGAATGAGAATAACTTGGTCAAACAGTATAAATGTAGGTGTGTATATTTATTTTTAAGACGTTCGATGCATTTTAAAGTTGGGAAATCGAGAACACACAGAGGAAAGTGCATAAGACCTAAGTGTAAATCATAATAAATTATTATAAAGTGAACCTCTATGAAATGACCACTGGGATAAGAAAAAGATCACTGCCAGTCTCTAAAGCCCCTATGTGGTTTTTCTGAATCCCAGACCCCTCCTCCCCAACCTGGGAGGAAACCACTGCCCTGACTTGTATGTAAACGCTGGATTCTTTCCTTTATAGCTTTCCCATCCAAGTGTGCACCTCTAAGCCCTGTAGTTTAATATCGTCTGCCTTGAGCCCTATGTAAATGGAATCGTACCTAATGTTTCTGTTATATCTGGCTTCGTTGGCTCAACATTATGTTTCCTAAATTCGTCCACGTTGGGCCTGAATTAAATTCATTATACGTAGTTCTTTCTCCAACACGACTTCTCTTTTGTTTCTCTGAATCTGTAAGTTTTGTTCTCTGGGTCAGTTTCGCATTTCTGAGTTCCTAAAATTGGATGGTAGGGAAAAAACTTTTCATGTGTGCTCTTCATTTTTTTTTTTTTTCAAGCATTTTGTAAGATCTCGTTGTAAGATTATCTATAAGATCTCGCTGTGTTCTCGCATTCCTTCGGAGAACTGGCAGAGCAGGATTCCCGATGTCCCCGTTTCGCGGATGAGGAAACTGAGACTCAGGCTGTGAAGGAAAGGACCGAGCCGGGAACTTGCCCTCTGCCCCATTTCACTTGGAGAAACAAAGTCATGGGAGACTCCATTGCTATGTCCAGTCTTCTTAAGGAAGCCAGAAAAACTCCACAAATTGGACTTGGACTTTCTTCAACATCTATCTCGTGTCCACTCAATGGATCCCCCAGATCGAGTGTTGATGTGGCCTGGGTCTCTGTCCTTGACCTTTTCTTCATCCACATGCCCTCCCTGGGTGATCTCACCCAATCCCATGGTTTTAACTATCACTTACATTCTAACAATGCCTACATTCTTATCACCAGACTGACCCCCGCCTTGAACTCTGGGATTGTGTGTCTGACTGCCCACTCAACATCTCTGCGTGGCTATTGAATTTGACACGTTCTTCATCTTCTCCCCTAAACCTGTTCCTCTGACAAACTTCCTCATCCTGGTTAATTCCAACCCCATCCTTTCAGTTGCTCAGGCCAAAAACCTCAGAGTCATGTTTAACACTCTCTGTCTCTGTCTCTGTCTGTCTGTCTGTCTGTCTGTCTCTCTCTCCCCCAACCCCTGCACTTCAACAAATCCTACCAGTTCACTATTAGGATACATCCAGAGTAGACCATTTCTCCCACCTTCCCTGGTATCACCTGGGTGTAAGCTATCAACATCTCCTGCCTGGACTGGTGCAGTATCTTCCTCACAGCTTCTGACCTCACCCCTTGTAGTCTCTTCTCATTGATCGGTCAGAGAGATCCTGTTAGAACATGTCAGATCATCTCTCTCCTCTGTTCAGCATCTTCCACAGCTTCCACTCACTCAGAGAAAAAACTAAAGGCCTACAGCAGCTCACCTACACAGCTCACATACCTGGCTTCCTTCTTCCCTCTAACTGCATCTCCTCCTACCAACCTTCCCCCTTATTTTCTCCACTCCTGTCTGTTCCTGCCTTGAAGCCCTTGTACTTGCTGTTCCCTCCGCCTAGAACACATGCAGGACCTGCTCCCTGCCCGCTTTCAGGTCTTTGCTAAAATGTCACCTCCTGAGAGAGGCGTCTAGCGATCCTCGGGAATGCCTGGGCCAGCACCCTCTGTTGTCATCCCTGGTTTGTTTTTCTCCATAGCCATTACCACTGTTTGGCAGACATGGTGTTTGATTTCTTGGGGTCTTTACTGGCCATCTCTTCTGCCACTGGAATGTCAGCTCCAGGAGGTCAAGGACTCTTTGTTTTGTTCATTGTTTTCAATGCCTGGAATAGGACCAGGCACTCACAAGTGAGGTTTCTCCCAACCTAGAGTTCAAAACGAGTGTTGGGGATAGTCATTCATTCATTGAACTAATAATCAGGTGTGCCTGGCATGGTTCTATGATGAGGGAAAGGAGATTCTCACAGTCCAGTAGCAAGACCTGAGAAGTGCCTTGGTGTGGATTAAGGGTCAGACACACCTGGGTGGCAGAGCTCTGGCTGATCAGGTGGGAGTGGAAGTGACGTGTGGAACTCGTGATGAGTTTGGATTCTTAAAAGGACCAGGCATCCCCTTCTCTCCCTGCTTTCTCTTTCCACTGGTTGAAATATAGCACTGCAGCAGCCATCTTGGAGCACACAGGGAACTCCGCAAGTTAAGGATGGTGGAGCCACAGGCTGGAAGGAGCCTGGGCTCCAACACCTTGAGGTCTCCATACCTGCCTTGGGTTGTTTATGCCTGGACTATATCATGAGAGAGAAGTAAGTTCTATTTAAAAGAATTCATTACTGTTTGGGTCTCATCACAGTGGCTATCTTTACCTTAACTAATACAGTGACCTTGATCGTGTTCCTTCCCGAGCCTCAGTTTCCTTACCTGTAAAAAAAGACAATAATAATAATACCTGCAATGAAAGGCAGTTGTGAGAGTTTGATGTCACATCTTAATAGTGCCTGGTATATAGTGAGCACTCAAAAAAACCCAGTAACTTTCCCCCTTTCAACAAAAGCTCCAAGAATGGAATTTGCCCAGGAAATTTGGAAGCAGGCTGCAGCATAAATGGTATGGAGAGGGTGTGGCTATTTGTGTTTCTGCTGGCTAAAGAGGAAACCTTCAGCTTTTGGTAAAAGTTATACTGGGATTGCCAGGTGTCTGGATTTGGACTGGGCAGCCCTATTTTTGAGCTTTCGGTCCAGGAAAAAACTGAAAAGAAAAAAATCCCAGACGTAAAAATGTGTGTCCAGTATGTCTGTTGAAACCATCTGGCATTCTGGCTGCGGAATTTCAAGATATACCATCCAGATCAATCTCCGGCCTTGACTAAGTTGTAGAATTTACCTTTTATGCATCAGCCTCTTTCTGAACCTTTTTAACTGTACCCCTGATCTGGGCTTCATACTACAAACCTTAGGTCTTTGCTTCATTTGGAAAGCAATATGGTAGAGAGAGGCGCCCCTCTGGGACATTTGCATTTTAAGAGAGAAATAGGAAGAGGGCAATGCTTTTTTTTAAAGGATAAGGTGATTATAATCATCCAAAGTGGGATGTTATTAATAATTATTCTGGGACAACAGGTACAAACTGGGATTGTCCCATGAAAACTGGGATGTTTGGTTACCCGATCGATAAAAGAATCAGTTCATTTAAGTGGGGAGAAAACCCACAGGGAAAGGAAGGTGTATCAGTTAGGATGCTTTAGGCTGCAAATAGAGGAAACTTGACTTAACTGCCTTAAACAATAAGAGAATTTCATTATCTTATTAC